TCAGCGTCGCAGTCATGGCGTCATTGTAGGCACTGATGCAGTAAACACCCAGGGGCTTTCCTGGTTCTGGCTTGATCTGTGCCTCAAGCCCAGCATCCTGCAGGATGTTTCCTAGAGGTGTCAGGGATGGATGCACTCCCACAGGAACCCCAGGGCAGGGAGAGAGCCAGCTCACTGCATTGAGGAGAAATGGAGTCAAGCCAGCATGCATCAGGTAGCCCTCGTGGGACACGACCACGAGGCGGCCTTGGCCATAGGAGGAGGCAGCAATGAGCACCTGGCCCCCATCATTCACCATCACAGGGAAGGCAGCCTCTCCAATAAGAAGGAGTTCACAGGGGAGGGCGTCCCTGGGGAGATCCCAGCTTGTCACTCCATCCATGAGGGCCTCAAAGGCAGCAGCGGCTTTGAGGGCCTCAAAAGCAGCAGATGTTGCCATGGGTTCTATCAGCTGTGGCAAGGGAAGCAAAGACGTTCATGTAGTTAAGAGATACTGATAAGCACTGCTGGTCAGAACAGATGAAGAAAACAACTAAATTCATTCACCGCGAAATTGTATTGGATTCCTCACTGTGGGCCACACACTGTTTTGGCACTGGGAGTTCAGCAAGAAACAATAGAGATGAGGTTTCCCTTTTTGTGATTTGAGTATTTTAGGAGAAAGATAATGAAAAAATAAGTAGGTAAACAGATAAATAAAATGCAACAAATTAATCCCTATGATGAGAATAAAACATGATGACATGATATGGAGGAACTGAAAGACCCCTTTAGTTTCTGCGCGATAGGAAAGGCCTCTGAGAAAGTGGCATTGAAACTGAAACCTGAAATGCAGTGAGCAAAGAGCATTCCAACAAAGGGATTGCTTTGGCCGAGAGCAAGGGACAGGTGGGAGCAGGACATGAGGAGGAGTGAGGGTGGGGCCAGATCCTGCAGGGCTGGTAGATTAAGGTGATAGTTACATTGGTGTGCCTGAGTTGGCAGAGTGCTTGATTTTTTTGAACAGAAAGGTTGCAGACCTGTTAAAAACTGCAATTGTTCTGACAGCTTCAGTAAGTTGGAAAGTGCCCCCCACCCAACTTATCAAGTCCGCCGTAATGGAGAGGGACCCCTCTATTTGGTAGCATTCTGCAGGTTCCGGAAGTCTTTTAAAATTTGCTGGGCCTAAAACTGAGCTTATTTCTCCCTTTAAGCGGCTCCTCTTGGATAGATGACTTCAGCCTCAGTTTCCCCATCAAAAAGAGAATAATATACCTCTGGGAAGATTGTTTTTGAAGATGAAAAGAATATGAATAGTCCAGGTGTGGTGGCTAATGCATGTAATCCCAGAACTTTGGGAAGCTGATGCGGGCGGATCACATCAGAGGTCAGCAGTTTGAGGCCAGCCTTGCCAACATGGCAAAACTCTGTCTCTATAAATCTACAAAAAAATAGGTGGGTCTGGTGGTGTGCTCCTGTGATCCCAGCTACTTGGGAGGCTGAGTCAGGAGAATTGCTTGAACCTAGTGGGACAAAGTTTGCAGTGAGAAAAGATCACGCCACTGTACTCCAGCCTGGGTAAAAGAGCAAGACTCTACCTCGAGAAAGAAGAAGAAGAAGCAGGAGAAGGAGAAGGAGAAGAAGAAAAAACAATAACAAATAAAAACACCTTGTCTGGGTTTGGTACACACAAAGTGAGCATGGATTAAACGAGTGTCTGTCCCTTTGTTGCCCTTTCTAGTTTCCCGGAGTGCCGAGGGCAGTGTTGCAGATTGCAGTCGCCTAGTAGTCCCCTGGCTGTCCTGTGCTGCCTCCGTCGGCCCATCTCTGGGGATCCCAGTGTAAGGGACTTTCCTGTATGCTCTGAGCCTTCTCACCTCTGCAGGTCCACAGGTCAGCCCTAAAGTGACCATGAGTTGACACCAGGGTGAGCTTCACCCAGTAGAGCATAGAAAAGTGCCCTGTGGCTTTCCCAAAGTGCCCTTCACAAAGGTCCTCAGAAAGTCCCTGGAAGAATGGAGCACCACATGGAAGACCCTCAGCCCATGCCCCTCCCAACTTTCCCTTTTTTCCTCGTCTCATTCTCTCCACTTCCTCATTTGGGCTTTTTCATATCACTTACCCACCCCTTGCATAAGGCTTTTCTTTAGGGAAGAATCTAAACTAAGACACATACCAAGCCCATAAGCCACACGTGCCTCCTTCCTCTCTCCCTCCTATCCATGTGTGTGGTAACACCCCCCAGGGGCACTGAGGAAGGAGAACTGTCCAGACCCCAGGCAAAATTAGTACCCGAAGAATATCTTAGTGTATAGTGTTATTACTCAGCTATTTCTTTATGTAATCCTTCATATATAATCACATATTAGTTTACAGAAGTAGTGCCTGAAGCATAACTCACTGCTTACTATATGTACCTTATACATAAAAATCATACTTAATCCCATATAATCTTTCTGTGGTATACAATATAGGTATTGTATTTGGAGCTGTACTGACACATTTAGTGCTGATTTATAGAATCCTTCTATGTAACCATGTAGTAGTGTAGTAGGAGGAATGCCTAGAGCAGTCACAGAACAGAAGCAGTACATGGGAAAACAGCCAGACCAGGACAAGAACCAAAGACCCAGGCAGTGGCATCTCTGCCTGAAAAGGCATATGCTGAATGGCAGGCTTGGAGCAAGAGCCTCTCCTCCTGATAACGGAGTTCTAGTACCTTGCATCCAGTTCCTGTGGAAAGTAGGCTTCAGGCCTGAGATCCTGGAAATAACCGTGGAGAAGAACCCCTCTGGTGTGACCAGACATGGCGGCTGTACACCCTGTCAGTCTTTTCTCACTTCTGTGCTAGCTCAAGTCATCCACCCATAAATATCTTAAGAGAAGAGCACAAATCTGCCAGCTCCCACTGCATTAAGCTTACAGTATCCTTCTATTAGAAATCCTTTGAAGTCTCCAGCCCCCAGATAAGAAGTGTTCTGCAGGACACCTGTTGCACACAGCCCATCTCCTTGCCTCGTTGACCTAATGGGGGTGGACCCCTTTTTCTGTACATGACCCTCTACTATGCACATGGCATGGTCCCCCACTGTGCACGGCCCACCTCTCTGCCCAGGTGACATAAGGGTGTGGCTGCCTTGCTTGTGACTTACGTGATCATATATGCCCTATTACTAAGCCTATAGATGATGACCTCACTCACGACCCTGCCCCCGATTTTACCTAATAAATACAGATACTTCTGGGCATCGAGGAGTTCACCGATCTCTGCTCACAGGTGGCGTGGGCTCCTGAGTCCAGATGCTCTTCACCAGTCCTTCAGTGTCCTGTCTCTTTACTTTTCGGATCCTGCACCTCAGCACAGCATAAGGGACACCCCACGACCCTGTGGGACCGCTACAGCCCTACACATGTGTTGTTAGCCACCTCATTCTGTTAATCTCTCACCATCTCTCTCAAACATCAGTTCCTTCGGTTGGCAATCATTCTAGACCAAACCAACCTGGTTTTAGTCTTCAGGATATATTCCCATCCACAGTCTTCCTCTACAAGAACTGTAACAAGAGCCCTTACATTTCTTCCACTTTCACTAAGGTGAAACTTGCTGAGCGCCTCAGCTTGGCTTCTCCAGGGTCGGGCATGCTAGTGATTACTGGACGTCTTTCCTGCTACTTTCGCCCATGAAATCACTCCAAACTTAGAAAGATTGACATTCTGAGCATGCCCTGTATTTCCTGTAGAATTCAGTCTCTCCCGCTTCCCTTCCTACTCACCACCTTTTTCTTAATACTGCCTGCGGGAAAGTGAGTTCATAAAAGAGAGCCAATACTCCGCATATCATTGAGCATGCGGTACATGATCTCAGCCTCACAAGGGACCAGTGAAAAAAAGCAGCGGAGAGAGATCCGGAAGCCTGAACTCAAGATCCTGCTAGCTACCTCCCAGAAGACAGGCGAAGTCTTTCACTTCTCGGGCCTTACCAGTTCGACAGGGTAAACAAAGACAAACTAAAAAACCCCAGATGAGTAATATAACCCGGAAAGCTGACCCAGCACTCTGCAACGAAATTCGCCGTCGTGGGCGCACACACCAGTCACATCTTTATCGAATTAGTAATTTACAAGTTCAAAGAGAGGGAGGAATGTGTTTTAAGACAAACTGCAAATAGCACCAGACTCACAAAACCAAATGAAACCAAAGACCTAGACCTAAGAAGAGAGGGGCACCCTTGGTTTGGGGCCTCTGGCACTTTGCGGCCACCCCCAGCGCCTAGGTGCTCAGCCACCGCCCCCACCTCAAGACTCGCTCGGATTGGAACACTCACGCCTGGGCAGTACGGATTCCTGGGGATTTTCGGACTGGCTCTGCTTTGGCGCGCGGGGCTCTTATAAGAGGCAAGGAGGTCTTGGAGGCGGGGCTGCCTCGCAGGCTGGTCGCTGCGGTCCCGGAGGCGGGGTCGTCCTGGAGGCGGGGCTGCCACGAAGGTGGGCGGAGCGGAACCAGAAGCAGGGCGGTCTCGGAGGCGGGACGGGGCGGTCCCAGAGGCGGGGTGGTCTAGGGTGGTGTAGGAGGCGGGTCCGTACTGGAGGCGGGGCTGTCTCATAGGGGAGAGGCGGTCCCAGCGGCGGGGCTGCACTGGAGACGTGACTGCCTCAGAGGCGGGGCAGGGCGGTCTCAGAGGCGGCGCGGTCTCGGAGGCGAGGTGGCCTGGAGGCGGGGCTGTCTCAGGCAGAACGGGTGTTCGCGGAGGCGGGCAGTGTCGGAAGCGGGGCTGTCCTGGGGACTGGGCTGTTTCGGAGGTGGAGCGCGGCAGTGCCGGAGGTGGGGCTGTATCGTAGGCGGTGCCGTCTTGGGGGCGTGGCTTCCTCGGAGGTAGAGCGGGGTCATCCTGGAGGCGGAATTGTATCATAGGCGGGGCTGTCCTGGGGGCGGGGCTGTCTCGGAGGTGGAGGTGGGCCGTCCTGGAGGCGGGGTTGTATCGTAGGCGGGGCCATCCTGGAAGCTGGGCTGAATCTTAGGCGGGCTGTTCTGGGGGCGGGGTTGTCTCGTAGGTGTTGCCAACATGGAGGCGGGCCTGTCCCTGAGTCCGGGAGGTATCGGAAACAGAGCTGTCCGGAGGCGGCGCGCAGGTTGGGGTGAGGCGTAGCCGGGGCATTATTTCCGCGCCCTGAGCCACGCCCGTGGTCTCCCGTTCTATTTGCGGGCCACACCTGGGGCCGTTCTGCGGGTTCTCGGGGCGCCTACCAGGTGAGCGACCCGTCTTTCCAGAGAGATGCTTTGGCCTGCATGAGGCTCCAAAGCGAATCCCCCAGAGCCTCCCAAATCCGCGGGTTCTGGATTCGGGAGGGGGCCCTGCCAGGTTGCTGTCGCACTTGATGAGAAAAGCTAACTCTAAGTCTCCAATAAACCGTATTCAGGGAGAATGATTCCCTAACAACAACGTATGCCACAGCAGAGGCCCCGCGTGGAATCGGGCACCCTTCCTTCGGTCCTGGGGTGGGCTCGGCAGAGCCGGTGGCCGCTGTGTCGCCCCCGTCCCTCAAGCGTCTGCGTGGAGGGCTGTCCCCTGATGGTCGGCGGCGGGCCGTGCACTCCGAGCCGGGGCGATGCTCAGGGTCATGGGGCGGGTATTCAACTAGGAGGACCAGAACTGACATTTTTCTCTGGAAGTATCCACAGAAATGCTGCCCAGTGAGTGATATTCTTACTGGGAAGGAAACGTGCCTATGGCATCACTAACACAGATATGTTCTTGCGTGGCTGGAGAAATTAAGCTAAAGCTATAGTGTCTGGTGCTCGAATTTCTACGCAAGAGAGGTGGGAAGGTGAAAATCAAGGTGGAGGGGTGTGGTCAGGAGGAGGATGTGGTGTAGTCTGGAGGTTAGAAACGTCTTCCTAGGAAAGTGATAACTTTGCTACAATAAGGGGAAGAAAGAGCAGTCTGCGTTTTGCCCACCATTGGGTCCTCATTGCCTGGTTCCATTTCTGACAGGGAGTAGGCTTTAGTTTTTTAATAAATACCTAAACATATGCTGAATAAATAAGTAGTGAACGTCGAAAAATATCTGTTGAATTCGTGAATTAATAACTGACTCTTTGGAAGACTAGTGGAAATCTGACTGGCAGAGGACCAAATGCATTCAGGTTTCAGAAAGAAAGAGCAAAAAGAATATTACACAGAAAAGAAAGTTTGGATAAGACTTGCCAGAATTTGGAATAATTCAGGATAGAAATCCAATGTGACGTGAAGTATGTTGAAGTTTTAGGCTTCATATCAGGAAACAACTGACCTTGGGAAATGAAGTGGGAGACGGACATGAAAGAAAGTGGGTCAGCAGTAAAGTTCCACGTTACAAGCTGACTCAGGGACGGGCGCCAGGGCTCATGCCTGTAATCCCAGCACTTTGGGAGGCCGAGGTGGGTGGATCACCTGAGGACAGGAGTTCTAGACAAGCCTGGCCAACTTGGTGAAATCCCATCTCTACTAAAAATACAAAAAGTAGCCAGGAATGGTGGTGGGTGCCCGTAATCCTAGCTACTCGGGAGGGTGAGGCTGGAAAATTGCTTGAACCTGGGGTGGGGGTTGCAGTGAGCCAATGCCACTGCACTCTATCCTGGGGTACTGAGTGAGACTCCATCTCAAAAAAAAAAAGCTGACTCAGTATCTTTTATGTATTTATGATCTTAGGTTTTAATCAGTCTCCACCAACATCAACCTCACTCCTGAGGTAAAGTACCACTATTGTTCTAAATTGACTACTGAGAGTATTTTGGTGTTCCTGTAATAGAAGAAAGGACTTTGAACAAAGGTTGTTTTTGCAGGGTCAGAGAGCAGAAGGTACCTGCCATTTGGGAGCAGGAGCTGCCTGAGAAATGGAACCTAACAACATAGGAATGGCATAACGGTTCATTAAAAAGAAAAAAAAGAGGAAAGATAGTGACTGGCATATGTTCTTACTAAAGGGTATCCAAGAGAGAGAATACAACTGTGGGTTCTTAGGTTCTGTTTCTGGTTGGGCAAGTAAAACCCCTTCCTTATCCTTCTTTTCCCCTTTCCCTAGATGCAGAAACTAAAAACCATGGTTTCAGCCTGCCACAAGCCCAAAATAATACAAAACAGAATAAGAACAACAACAAAATAAGGCATGTTGGATAGGTTTCGAAATGGCTATTGCTTATGCAAAGGTGCAGACCCCCAGATCTTTCCTTTTCCTTAGGAGAAAACAGAAGCCATTCAATGAAAGTCAACGTATCCTTACTGGACACTTGTTCTGTGAGACACTCTGGGAGATAGAAATGCTATTATGGTCAATAAATCTAGAGAGGAGAAAAGACATGAAAACAACTCTAATATCAGGTCAACTAATCTAAGTACCAAAATTAGGTGCAAGGGCACATAAAAGCAGCAGCAATTATTTCTGATCCAAGGATTAGAGAAGAATGTGCAGAGAAGGTGACACAGAAACACAGCTTAGAAAAATGTATGTTTGTGGGCAGATAAGGGTGGAGGGTATTACAATGTGAGGCTGTATAATATTCCAAAGCATGGAGATATGAATGTGAAAGGCTCAATTTGAGAAAGAAAACATATTCATAGTGGCTGAAACTAGTTAGCAGGACTTTCATAGTGTTACCTCTACAGAAGCTTGGGCTAGGTGTAGAGGGACTTCGGCTGCCGTACTAGGAAGTTTTGATTCCATTCTACAGTTTGGAGGAATTTTTTTTTAAAGCACCATTTAGTAAACCTGGGTTGCCTCCTCAACATCTATTCCCTATACTGCCCCTATTTTCCTTTCTAACCAAATTCATTTATCAGATAATCCACCTCTCCCTTATGTGATTCAGGGTACAACGAAGGCATCTCCAGTTCCAAGCATAGATCTATACTAGCTGAAGTCAGGCCGGTTAACTCATACTTTTTGTGCTTCCATGACAGACTCTTTCTAGGTATACATAATAAATATGCATAAGCAAAATTACTTCATTGTCCAGCATATACAATAGACAAACACAAATCAGAAATATTGTTACCAGTGGTACCTCAGTCTATTTTTTTGTCAAATAGTGAGCAGTTGCTGCAGTGATTGCCGTTTATCACTAAGCCAAATGCAGGGGATGCTCATACATGTGCCTTCTAATTGTGGGCTAGTATTAATAGTCACTGGCCTCCTTCTTAAATTATTTTCAGTCGTGAGCTTAACTTAATGTGGTACCATATATTCTTTCTTCTAAGGACCTTAAGAATCTGGAAAGAATTAGCCACACTCTAATTTAGAAACAGAGATGGATGAATCCACCTATGAACATTTACTGGTATGAGTCACTGGGGAGGTTTACCAAGTCACTATTTAAGATGATCCAGAACAGGTGTCTACAGCTGCTTTAAGAATCAGTAGTGTAGTGGCCATGAAAACGTTCCTCTCAGATGTCCAACTGCAGGGGGTGGGTATGAAATTGCAGATGGCCCCAGCTGGTGTGCTCTGGAATCCTTGGCACCAAGGCCATGCTGCCAAGGGCTTTTCCAGGCTAGTGGTTAAAGGTAGTGGGGATCCTAGACAGGTCTATTCCTGGAAGACATGGGAGACTTTGGCTCAAGGACTCCTCATTGTCTTGAAATAAACTCTCTGAGACCTATACTTCGGTGGAAACCTTTCTTTCCTTTGCTGTCTCCTTCCCAAGGGTTAAACCTACATTGCAGTCTGATGGTGGCTCTCCCGGCCTCTTCTAGCTCCCTCTACATTTTGTCTCACAGGCATATTCTTTAATAAATCTCTTACATATCTGATCCTATCTTGGTTTCTACTTCTTGGAGGACCCAGAATGACACAAGTACTGTCATAATTATATCTCCTCACTTTAAAACTCTTAAGTATAATTACTAAAATTGTGTTGAAGTAGGAGTAAAAAGCAAAGCTACTAACTTGAGAGTGTTTATGAAACACACATTAAGTTTCATTCTTTATAATAACTTTTATATAACTTTTATTCAACTTATAGCACGGTCTATATCCAAGGGCAAGTTCCTGAGTCGTAATCATTGAAAACAGTGGAACTTTGAAGCAATGAGGGAGTTCGATGCTTCTCTTGACAAGGGGCCAGCCCTAATTCACAGTTACAAAAGCTTTCATATTCTTCTTTGGTATATTTGTAAAATTTACCTGGGGCTACATTTTTTTTTTCTGTTTGGATTATAAGTGTGTGGAACATACGTGGTAAGAGCCAGTTATATTCCAATCACAGAGGATGTCTTGGAACATGTGACTGCCACTCCAAAGGTGCTGAAACTTTCTTCCTCTAGTAAGGGACAAGGCTGGGATGGAAGTGAGAAGAGATATTCTTAGGCTTATAATCTGTTCCTCCCATGCTGGACCAGACATAGAGTTTGGTTTTGTACTGAAGATTTTAGTTGTCTGGGAGTCAGTGGAACTGAGTTAGCCCAAGAATAAGAGTGGATATCCTTTTTCTCTTTCTACCTTTGAAATATCAGACCATTGGACAGGTGCACAATAGATCCAATTTTCTTTAAGTGCACCTACATCAGTATAATATAAATGTCTTCATTCACAATCCCACAAGGATTGTAAATATCAATATGCCAGGGGGATAGTGTATGGGAACTGAGGGTCATAGTAGGTCAATACCATATAAGAAAACTCCTACAGAGAAAGAGTGAGTCAAAATCCCTACTCCTATGGGACCAGCATCTATTATTGTCTATTTATTTACTTATTTGAAAATGTAAAGAATTATTTCCAAATTGATTTATTCCAAAGTTGCTGTGACATCAAGATTATTCCTTCTCAAAACTTTTCATTATATATTGAGACTTGTAGTCTTCATTTCATTATGGTTTGCCCCAAGACTTCCACGAAGTCTAGCAGATCTGTAGGGAACCATCCTTTCCCAAGGTATATCATGCATACTTTCTGCTATTAATATTTTTTTTCAGTCTGTCCCTTGTGGTCAATCAAAAGAGATGCAGATTTGAATCTTTCTAAGAGGAGCAACGGTTCTCCCTTTTTTCCTTTTCAACTGATTAAACAAAAAAGCAGCAGCCCCTGATATCCATAAACTTGTCTGACACTAACAGTTAGGCCATATTGTTCTCCCATTACAAAAAAACAATTTCAGAGAACATCAACATCAGACCAGGTCACTCTGAGACCATTATAAAGTGAGGCACATACAAGATTACCATGTAACCCACAAAATACGGACCATCCTTCTCTTATCTAAAATGAATAATT